CGCAGAAATGTTAAAAACAAAAAGTTCTAGCCATTTTGGTTTCACAATGCAAGTCAATGATCCATATATTCAGAATTTCAGTTTGGATTTTGTGTCCAAATGAGATTGCTTTGGGTCCTAATTGATCGAAACTGAACTGGATGCATATCCAAGTTGCTGAATCAAACTCTGAACTTTGTTAGTGGCCCTGTGCACCACCCTCCTACAGATGCCAGCTCTGTTCATTGTAACTTCCCCTGTTCTTTGCTGTTTCCTTCCTGGCTTGCAATCTACTGCTGTTGTTTCTTTCACCAAATCAGAGAGTTTGTGGTTAGGGTCAAAGAGCCAGTGCTTGTATAGGACATTAAGTGCAATTACTATTCTCTTTTACTGATTAAAGTACTATCCCCTTATTTGTTTTAGCTAATTCCATGAACAATAGCAAGTGTTAATTTAAAAGTTGATCTCTTGATTTGTGCTTTCACCCACTAGAGGGTGCCTCTTGTATACATATTACATTGATAAAATGAATACTTAGTTTCAAGGGCAGCTCTGCTATTAAACTAGTGAAGCAAATTTCTGTAACTCTGTGTAAATATATTGGATGTTCTGTTTCAAAAATGCAGTCTCTATATAGCCTGAACATTTCCTTCCCAAACTTCTGGTGAATGAGTCTGAGTGCATGTGAAGAAAAGGTTACAGCTTTAAGAGCAAAGTTACAATGCTGGTGAACAGACTACATTCGTCCCTCCATAGGGGTTAGAGCAGGGGTAGGCAACCTTTTTGAGCTGGGGGCCGGGTTGCTGTCCCTCAGACAATTGGGGGGCCGAAGCACCAAAAATAAATAAATAAATAAATATATTTTTTTTAAAAACTAAAAAATTAAAAAAATATGCATGCACACTCTCTCAGCCCCAGAAAAGCCATGGCAAAACCCCTGTGGAGATTTTGCCAAGAAAACCCCAACAACAAATAATAACAACAATAATCAATATCATCATGGTGGGTGGCAGGGGGTGGCGGCGGCGGCAGAACCGGCCTGGGGCCGGTCTAAAGGCCTCGGGGGTCCGCATCCGGCCCCCGGGCCTTAGGTTGCCTACCCCTGGGTTAGAGGCTCAGGACCCCTGTGAATGTGAAAAAGCTGCGTATAACAAAACACTATGTTATTACCTGAGAGAACACCTGTCTAGGGATCTCTAGATCCTCAAGTGCAACTCTGTGGTCAACATTTGTCAGACATTGACCATATTATAGTGCTGGAAGAGCTACAAATGCCTAGCGGAGTGTTCTCTCTAGGAATCTCTAGGTCCTTCAGTAAGACTTTTGGTTAAAGTTGACCATAGAATTGGCCTGGAGGATCTAGAGTTTCCTAAAGAGAAAATATTAATAAAATCCATGAATAATCAAATTTTCAAAAGTCAAAGCTGCAAATGTGGATGGATGAGTGTATATTTTCATTAGTATATACTACAGTAGTCCCCAAAGGTTTTTGGGCTGCTGCGCCTTTTCCTCTTGAGCGACAACCCTAATGGCCCCCAATGCCTGTTTTATGATATTAGATCTAGTGTTTGTGTAGCAACCAGATGGCCAATGGCACCCACCTCAGCCACATTCAGTTCACTATTACCATTTCCTCCTCCTCAGCCTGTCTTGGTGAGAGTGCAGCAATGGCAGCGGCCCAGGACTGCTCCTCCCTCTTGTTTGTCTTACAGCAAAAGGAAAGCTGGCTGCTTGATTGCTGCTCCCAGGGTGAATGGGTGCAAAGGAAACAGCACCTGGGCAGCCAGTCAAACAGCAACCGGGCATCTGATCACCTTGCGAGCAGCAACCAAGAGGCTGACCAAGAAGCCTCTTGCCCCTGCTGGCCTTGTGGCAAAGGCCAGGTTGGTTGAGAGGCTTCTTGATTGCTGCTTGACCAGCTGCTTGGTAGCTGCTCCCGAGGTGACTGTGTGCCAAAGGAGAAGCTTGTCCCCAATGAGGAAGGACTCTCAGTTCTTCTTTGCTGGGGTGGAGAGAGTCTGGAGCTGGCTTCCCATTTTTCTCTCCAGTGAGGAAGGACTCTCAATCTGGGAGAGGCAAAGGAGTCTTTTGAAAAATCGACCCAGATATTCCTCCCTTCCTTCCCTAGAGACATGCCTTCCCCACACAGGTTCAAGTCACCCCCCCCAACATTATTTCTTTTGCTACCTCTTCTTTTGGCCCATCCAATGAAAGAAAGCAGGAGCAGCAGCACAGCTCCAACTTACTAGCCAAGTTCTGGCAAAACGTAGGAGATTACCACAGCACTAATTAAAGTGGTTTACCTGAGCCAGCTTAAAATTTTAAATGGACGGCATCCTGATGTTATCACAAGTATTTAGCCACTGAAATCACCACCCCAGTGCAGCCTGGGTCCATCCCCACTCCCAGGACCGCTCAGCGCAGCTTTTTTCGAAGTTGGGAATTTTCCGTCTTAAGGAAATGGCTGTCAGAGTGGCCCTGGGAGTGGGGAAGGACCTGGGCTGCACCAGGTGGTGATTTTGGCAGCAAAATCCTTGTGATAACATCAGGATGCTGCCTGTTTAAAATTTTAAGCCGGCTCAGGTAAGACGCTTTAATTAGCACTGCGATAATCTCCTCACAAAGCTTAAGCAGGATCCCAAATGTGAAAACTTCTTTTTGCTGCCACTTCTCTCCAGTTGCAAGGTGCTCTAACTCATCATCCCCACCATGGTCCTAAAAGCCACTGGTTTCCCCTGTTTTTGTCATGCACCAATACTGAAGGCCCTCATACCCTCTTTTCCTTCCCTGCCTTCTGCTGCCCTCTTTTTCCTTGTGCCCCCCAGATATTTTCACTGCCCCCAGATGGGCATACCACCCACTTTGGGAATCACTGATATACTATATTAGCTGTAGTAAAGCAAAACAATCTAGGAATTTAAGGTTGCAATCCTATATTCCAGGGGATGCACACTTTTTCCTAGCATTCTGGGAATTAGTTTCATTGAGTTCTGAGTGGATATATATAGGATTGTGTTGTATGTTACCAGCCCATTAGATATTTTAAGCATTACAGCAAAGAAAGGATTCGTAAAACTTCATGATACTGTTATGCTTTCAAATGGCATTAAGAAAAAGTAAATAGGAAATGAATAAATCTGACACCTCAGTATGATCTTGCAAATGATTCACTATTTCTAAAGTCTAATTTGTACAGTGTCATTTACTGTGTAGTACATGATCAGAACATTTGATGTTGGAAAACACATGTCTTGTGGTACCAAACTTATAGAGGAACCTCTGATTCAATTCTGATTACTTCTCTTTGAATACATTTGTTGGCTTTTATTGTTTTCTTAAGCAATATTTTAGATTTTATACAACACACTTATTAGAATAGTTCTCAGTAGCGTAGTTTTAAGATGTGACACCTTATGAACTCTTATAAACATGCTAG